AAAAGAAGTCCATACAGCGGAGTTAGAATGACTGAAATTAGGAGTCCATTAATAGTGACCCAGATTGAAGACATTGCCAATCACAATATGAACTCAATTTTGTATTATAGTACATGTTTTTGTGTATTTTCTGATAAGCAAGCAGCCATTAGGAAAAGAAAGGGAATGTTACATTATCGACACCAAGGAGCAGAAGAGTGGGAAAGAAGGAGGGAATAAGCAGGACAGTCGTGGTCCCAATCAGTGCATGTACGTGTCGGAGAGAATACAACACACGAATGATGAAATCATTCCAAACTGTGACTATATACAGAGTGAAACAAAGGGAGATAAGACCCAGAGAGATGAAGAGAGAAGAAAGTGGAGTTTTCTTGTCCAACTGCGCCCTGGGCTGAATCAAGCGCTCACCTTGACTTCAGTTATTAACACAGTACTCGGCTGTTCATTCAATTCTGCCTGTAAAGATTCTCTATCTCAATTCTTTCCATTTGGCTACAAGATCTTTAGTGGCACTGTTGGGCTGTGCGTCCTTGTTGAGCACGAGATAAAGGCCCTCTCTCATCTCAGTAGGGTGCTGCTGTAGCACTATTCATCTCTTATCTTTATGCCCCAAAGCCTAAACTAATCAACTTCAAATTCAAAAAGGCTCAAACACAAATCTACAGCCTGAAAGTGCATTATCACTCATTAGCACAAAGCAGCAATCAAATCAAAGACGATAATTGATACAGAAATGCTTTCACTTGAGGATAATGAGCACAATTGAGCAAAAATATTTTGTTTATTTGCAAATTCTCTCGTTTAATTGCTCTTCAAGGCCACACAAGACATTGAAAACTGGAATTTAAGTTTTATATTCCATTTATTTTTTCCGTACATAACAACATCCGCCTGAGCGATTCCAATAACTGGGACTCCACCGCTAGTTTACTGGGTTCCAGTCCAACTACGTATCCCAGATATATGTTTGGGCAGTAAAGTGGAACGGCAAACATCTGTCTTGCTCCATGTTTGATTAGTCTCCTGACACCGGAAAGACACAATCGTTTACAGTGAGGAATTCAACTCAGGAAAATATTGGTCTCAAAATGTTTTCTCTGTGGATGACTGTGTTGACATGTATTTATTCCTGCCTGCCTGTTCACTACCCCATGCATTTTAAAACGATGCATATTTATGTAAATGATCTACAATGGTGTTGTTTCTTTGTCTGAATCCGATATAGTGAAAACGCTGCCTTACAGACAACTGTGGGTGTATTTAGAAAAAAATCCTCTAAAGGCTTTTTACAAATCATGTTGATTGGAAAATGTATTCAGCATTTTGTAAGATTCTCCTGAACTCTGTTATACTCACTCAAATCCACATGAAAACTTGTCTTTTTTTTAAAATCCCAGATGTTTCTTTGATAGATATTCATTGTTGGACTTTAGGCTCCTTGTTCAGTTATGTTGATTTTGTGGCCATAGAAACGCTTCAACTCTCTGATTGGAACACACATCTTACTCTCACACATAGTCAAAGCTCAACCAGGGAATAATAATTCAATGACCTACTTCAAAAAACTTTGTGGTCTTGCTATGAGAAGGCGATGATCAATCTGTCATCAGTGTGGTTTTTTTCAGTGCAGAGATAGAGGAGAAGCGCTGCATCGATCAACTGTTTAAAATATGAGGCTGACGAGTTCACGACTGTGTGGATTTACAGTTCTCACAAGTCCATTAAATAATCCCCCTATTGCCTATTTTTGTTAGACTGTTAGTTTGTGGCATGTAATCACAAAACACAGTGACAGCGTCTCACACACAATCACCCTTTTGGGCTTTACAGAAACTGTGTGAAGACCACCAATCAGACCAGCTTTAATGAGTTTGGGCTTGTACAGATTGGCAGCCAATCAGTCGACATCTCTGGTTGGCATGGACAGCTCCCAGATGTGAAGCAGTATTCGAGGCTGTTTGGGAGTTTAATGGTTTAAAAAAAAAAAAAAAGAAGACTTAACTGCAGGAGACGAAGGCGAGGATGTCAGGGGGGCAGACATGTCTTGAGATAGTTACTGATACTTCCTGTTTTATCTCATCAAGTGGTTCTGTGTTGGCCGAAGGCAGAGACGGTTAGATTTTAAATGGGATGTTGATGGAAATGGCCTTGATGCTCAGTCAACTGTAGTGAATGTAAAGGCTGAAAGCTAAGAGCTGCATTGGTTTCAATGTGAGCAGTGTTTGTTTTTGTATTGTTTACTCCCTTACAATGTGAAACAGAAGAAACCCCAGGCAACCGTCCGACAGCCAGTAAGTCACTTTAACACAGCAGGCAGCTCTAACACATGCATCAGTCTTGGGGTGTGTATGCTTGGCCTGCTGTGTTAAGGGTTGAAATGGAACAATCTTAAAATATGGTTTGTTCAGAGTAAGGAAATGTTTAATGAATTGAGGTAAAGTAAACAGAGTGTAGTTTTCCCAGGGGCATTTGCTCTAAGGAAGGTTGGCAACTGCCTCAAGACTACTGAGGAAACAAATTGCCCCACAGCTGGCAAAATATGTCTCATCCAGAGCGCTCGTAAACGTTCCTTTCATGAATTCAAGTTTACAAAACACTTTTATGAGCAACAGAGAAAAACCTAGAAAGGAGAAATAGAGTATTCTGTAAATCCTTCAACCTACTTCCAGTTTCCTTGTATCACATTTATTGAGTAGCTTATTTCACAATTGGAATGTTTTCCATGTGAACGTTTCTTTGTCATCTTTCTTCAGGAAAGTATTTAGTTTTTTCTTTAACTACGATCTGTTCTCAGAGTCAATTATTTGATATTCTGATTCAGGGTTGGGACAAAATATCAATTCAACTAAATATTGTCGTCCTGAGTTGTGTGATACGATTATTAAAAAGCATGGTGCTAAAATATGGATATTAGAATTTAACAAAATACTGCGGTCTGAATAGATTTGACTCACTGCGTTACGTCGTCATGACTACTCACTGTCCTTTCCTGTCTAATTGACAGGACAGTATAATGTCTGACAGTGGTTTTATAGATACTGTAGATATATACTGTATAAACTGTAATGTCACAACAGCAATCTTTTCAAAATAAAACTGAAGTTCTGAATTCAGAACACATTTCATGCAGAGTAGCTTTCAGAGTAATTCACATGCACATCATTAAACATGAGATCTACTTCAGTGACACTTCAAGTGCTGATGACCAGCCTCAAGCCTTTAAAAATCAGAGGAGGAGTGGCGGGCTTCATGAAAATCACGACCTGGAAATTGGGGCTTTGAGCCTTGAAACGGGACCCTGCACAGGTGTTAGAGGAGGTGTGTGCGTGGGCAGCAATGCCCATGACAGTTTCCTCTGCCTTCACATCTCTTACAGTTGAAAGCTTTATGAAGGCAGCCTCTTTCAACTTGGTCTCCAGTTAATGTTGAAAAAGATCTCAACTCCTTAGTGAGGGATAATTCTGTGAACCTGTTCCAGACTTTGAATATTAAACCTCAATTAAAACCACTTTGATGTCCACTCATTGCATACATTTAGTATTCAGCTTGATAAGCGCTCAGCAGCCATTTAATACCTTAAGTTTCTCTTTTTTAGAAAAACATTACGCTTACTGTAAATCTGCACTTGGCCCTTTTTGTTGACTGTTTTAGAATGTTTTTTATGAACACTTACTGTGTACTCAAATATAGTATGGTTTTTATAGCAACCTGGTTATTGTTGCTCCGTTGACTATGACTGCTAAACTGCCAGCCATTTGTTACAGTACAGTAATATTGTAGCACATTATGGTAACGGGGAGAATTATACAACACTTTGATCATTTCAAGCCGTTGGAGATGAATAGCTTTTGAAGAATGGGTCAAAATCGCTCCAGATGGGATGGTGGCGCTGTAAAGAGCAAAAGCATAATGAAAAAATATTGTTGGTCATAAATGTTGGCAGCTCTGCACATCTAAATTGTCTGAAAATATTACCGGCATATCATCACGGTGGCACAACATTGTTCTAATTATCATTTCTGCTCATTCTTGTCTCCCAGCCCTCGAGGGTCTCCATATGTTGCCGCGTCGGACAGTCCTCTCTCTCCTCTTCACGTCCCCTCTCCTCCCTCTCTGCTCTCTTGCCAAGTGCTTTTCAGAGTCGTGCAGCCTTTCCGTTTTCGAACTAATCTCGAGCTTGTTTTCTCCCCCTCTCATCTCCTTGTTTCGCTCTTCTCGTTTATCCGACTGCCGCCGCTTCCCAAGTGCAGGTTTATTTACTGTACAGGCCCCTAACCGATATGATGCTTTGCATTCCTGCGTCTTCCTCATTACAATCAACTAACAAGCCATTAACACATGCTGTGAGTGATGTTGAGATCGACACTATAGGAATATAAAACCTTGCACCACTGCACTAGAATTACCATTTTAGTCTGGATCCCTGACTCCTGAGTAGAATGTAAAGTCTTCGCTTCAAGGGAATTCTGCAGTTTTCACGTCTTTCGTTGACAGTTACAATTATTTGAAGTAGCAGAAGCAAATATTCTGACAGTGCACATAAATGACATAAATATTGTTAATTTCTGCAAAAGCATCCACTCGGATAACTAGCCCCGCGTTGGCTGAAACAATAATAACATCCCTAATGACAGACAGATATTTAAAATCAGAAACTGTTAAGTGTTTTTTGTTTTTTTTGTTTTTTTTGTTTTTTTTGCCAACTGCAGCAGAATACACCTCAACAAAATCCACAGAAAAGTTGCAAACATCCTTTAGTTTTCTCTGCTCGGACTCCAAATTACATTCACTTGGTGTTAATGAACAATTATTCATTGCAATTTGCAGCCTCTCTCTACAGAATATTAAGCAAGACAATGTACTTTGAACATCATTTCCCTTTGCAGCTCATCAGTGATCTAATTCTAAGAGCGCAGTGTATCATCCACAAACAGTTGTAGACGTATTTTCTGTTTACACAAAGTCCTTAACTCGCTGTTCTTCTGCCCTCTTCCTGCCAGGTCTTCCGCAGCGGCGAAGGTATGGGCATCCGCCTGGACAGCGCCTCCGCCTTCCAGGGCGCCGTCATCTCCCCCCACTATGACTCCCTACTGGTGAAGGTCATCGCCAGCGGGAAGGACCTGCCGACGGCGGCCTCCAAGATGAGCCGAGCCCTGGCCGAGTTCAGAGTGCGAGGGGTCAAGGTAGGACATTCTGCTGCTTGTGCCGAGCTGTGACGCTGGTTTTCTGTGCCTAGTTCTTCCTCTTCTTCTTCTTCTTTAAGCATAGTCAACGATTCCTAGATGAGAAAATAATTGCCCCTGAATTGTTGAAAACTTTCAAACATAGAATTCTTAGTTTTGAAACCGGACACTGAATGTTCGACATTAGGAGAGATAGAGTCTTGACAGCTGGGATGAAAATGTAACTCTGTGTTGGTCTGCTGGGAATCGCTTGACTAGAGTTTATCTAACGCTATCCAATCCAGTCAGTCATTGTTTGTGGTGTTAAAACAGAAAGACTGAGAGAGGGACAGCTTTAGAAGTCTCTGTATAGCCAATCAGCTGCAAGGGTAAAACAAGTAATTGTGTGTTTAAGTGCTCAGCTGTTTGAGACACATTTTACACATCTCTGCATGACCGGTCTGCCCGATTAGATGCTCTCTGTTACACTTGAGCTCTGATGTTTTGCCTGAAAACATAATCTGCCCGTGTCTGAAGCTGATGGATGCATCCCTGTAAAGAAGACAAGAGGCCTCTGGTTTTCAGGGAGATCGCGCTGAACATTATCAGCAGGTGCAAACGTTGTTGACAGACAGCAGCAGTGTCAGCAGAGCCAGTGCTAACAGACGGAGAAGGTGGAGGTAATTAAAAATAATGATTTGGCTCTGTCGTTCATGTTGGGAGTCGTATAACAGGAATGATGTCATTAACACCCTCAGAAATCCTCTACATCTTTGAAGGAGCTTACTTCGAATGTTTTGTTTCCAAAATGGCAAAAGACATATCCAGATGTTGATTTACAACGTTCAGGTTTCTTTTTTTTTTACCAATACACTCACGATGCTGGAGTCAGAATCATACAAGGACAAGACATCTGCTCTTCTTTTAACTGTGTGTCCTCAGTTAGAAAACATTGTAAACATAGTAATGATGTGGCACACAGCAGTGAAAGAAATAAACAGTAATTGTTTTGTTTACTTACAGAAATGTACTCATTGTAGACTCTACTGTGCAGAAGCAATGGTCGTTTTTACCACTCAAGATAATAGGAGGCTGAAACCAGATATCGAGTTATATGATAGGAAAGTATTCTGCTTCATTTGACTACACACACACACCGGTAATATGCACCATCGCTGCTTCAGGTTGCAGCGAAGGTCCCTGCTTCATTTTTCATGATGAATATGGATTAATGTTTGAACAGTGTCGATAGAACTGATGTTAATTACAGTGCATGAAGAAGAGTTTGATTTCGAGTTTTGTGCAATTATAAGGCAAATCAAGTTTCAGTGACGTCTAATCCAAAGATGAAATGAGGTCGAAGATTTTCTAAATCAGAAAGCAGGGTGAGAGAAAATGAGCGCTGATATTAATATTTGTGAATCTACAATAAATGTTCTATATGTGTTGTGTATACTGAAGTTTGGGTTCATGATTAGCATCACCTGTCCTGTTTGTCCTCACCTCTGGTCAAAATCAGAACCATGAAAGTAAAGGGATTGCTTTAGGGGTTGGAACTTTAAATTCTATCATCTCGATCACAGTTATTCCTCAGTCTGTTTTGAATTAGTCATGATGAGGTGAAATTGCAAGTCAAATTGCTCTTCTCTGCTCTAATTTCTCATTTAACTTGGAGTGCACTTTACAAACTGTCAGCAGATTTAATAGATAAATTTTCCCTCGTCTGATGGAGTCAGAAAGTGTTTGGTGTAAGCTTGATGGCTTTTGTCCTGATCACTGTGGATCATGTAAACACACTCACCGGAACGTCAACCTGACAAACATTTGGTCGAGAAGTGAAAATAGATATCCATCAGTACTACAAAAACAGTGTTTTTTTTTTTTCAATGAAAAGCACAAATTTGGTTATTTGTAAGGAAAATATGCAAATGAAGACGGTGTGTGATGCAAACAGGCGGCTGTAACATTCTGTTACCTTGTCCTGATCAGGCTTTAAGTGGAGTTATTTCTATTCTTCACTAGCAAACATGTTCAATTACTGTGTATCACGTTGACATCAGTGGAGAACAGAGCAGCTACAAGGCCTTGAACTAAACACGTTTCTCTTACTGTAAATCGGCTGATAGCGCACTGAAACAAGACAGCTCTTTTCAAAGACTCCTGAAGAAACTTGAGCAAAACCGGCCTCTTTTCATAAACTCTGATAACACTGAATGAAAGTACGCCAGCTGTTTATAGTCGGCTTTGTTCCTCTGCTGAACAAATCCAAGTACCTGTGTCCTTGCCAACAAATGGTCTCGCAGACACTGGCATTGTCATTGAAGTTTGTTCTTCTTTTCCATGCATTGATGTTGATTCTGTACTTCACTTTGTTGGTGTCACTGATAAAGACACAGTTGATCATCTCCCCAGTGTTTTTTATGTTCTGTAGACGAGTGGCCCTGAGGTATTGTCCTTCAAGAAGTCGTTTTGCTCCTCTGCCCCAGGATGCCCAAATCACCGTCTGACATAAATCATCAGCTTGCCAACAAACTACTTATCCGTCTGTCTTGTCTTTCCCTGTTTTATAAGAAAGAAAACCTACACTCACACTGAGATCTTCGGTGTTCCATCATACCACCTGCTTTACTGCGCCCACTGTTCAACAAGTTCATACTTGTCACTGATTAGATTTCTACAGTGAAAACCAGATCAGCTTTGGGTCATAAAAAATGTTCTGTCTCTTAGAACTTTTGAATATTTCGACTTATATTGAAGATATTTGGTTTTCTGACACTCTGTACACCTTTTTTTGCTGAAGTTTATAGTTTCTATGTCAGGCCAGTTTGAATGGACGCCCTGCATCGTCCAGAAAGTCATTTCTCAATTCCAAGGCTACATTCTGTGTCTTGAAGCTAAATCATTTCTTTTATTCTTAAGCAGTACTGGTGTAACTAGCTGGCTCAATCAAATCTTGAAGACTTAATGCATAATATGTCTTTGGACACACATAGGATATAGTTTATATAGCATTTTCCTTACCAGTGACAAAGCTTCAGACAAACAGCTTCAAATACTTTACAGATACACATCATACAATGCAGAATGACAAAACGTAACACCAGAAGTAAAGCGTTCGGGTAAAAGAATGGTTTTAAGATGAGATTTAAAAACAAAGACATATTTCGCTAAACAGATTTCAGGAGAGTTTGAGAGCTGGGAATACAAAAGCCTGAAAACACAAACGGCTTATCAGTTTGTCAACGAAATACAGCGCGGCCTTGTCACTATAAAAGTTAGAAATTCATTTTTTTTTAAATCAATCAGAAAACAGACAGGGAACCGATGCAGTGGTTAATCATTTAGTAAAAACTGAAAGCAGTGAAAGGAAGCCCGTGATATCCGTAGAGAGAACATTACAGAAGCCCAAATGGGACAAAAAACACAAATAACCTTGTGTAAGCCATAAGAGGATGAAAAGGGCATTTGGCAAATGTGACCAAAGATAATGTTGTCGAGAACAAAGACAGTTTTTCGACATGTCCTTGTGTTTTTTGAGCCGCAGCCTTAGGGAGTGTCGCTACTGCTGCGTTGGAACGTCACCACTAAGAAGCCAGAGTGTTGGCAACAACTCCCAAGTCCTGTTAATGCTTTGGTCTGTTTACAGAGATATGACACTGCAGCTGACAGAACCATGACTCCCCAAGTTTTTAAATCTTTCTGCCATGATGAAGACTGTGCTGCTGAAGTACATCTAAGAAAGACTCCACTCTGCTCCTTAGGGTCATTTTCTGACTTCTGTTTGGCTCTTATAGTCACTGCAGCTCCTGTGCACGTTAAGTGTAGTAGAACCTTTTTCTTATTCAAGTGGAAACCAAACATCTGTCAACCAAAGTTTGTGTTACTTGCTTTGACACTTGACAACATGCTGCTCTCCTCTGTTTTGGAGAATTATGTTTGGCATTTCAGAAAGCTGTCTTTATCACCTGCTTCTGTGTGTGTGTGTGCCGTTCCACAGTTTTGTGTTTGTGTGCACATTTGGGAGTGTGTTAGGAACGCAAAGTAAAATGTCAAGCCTTACAGCGGCTAAGATGGAAAGAAAAGAGGGAGAGTGATGGACAGGAGAGCGACAGGACGTGAGGCAGGCAGGTAAAGACGCTCCGAGAGAGTAGCAAGGGGGAAATAAGAAAAGGGCAATCAGATGGGGAGACGGTGACAAAAAATGACAAGGAAGGTGGAATGTCCTTGCAAATGGTTGGATACATTTAACGGTGTGAGGACTGGATTCAATAGTGACAATAGCTTTTTCTAGGTCAGTGGCAGGACGTTACAGAAATCAAATTTGTCCTCAAATCATTGAGATAAAAACACACAATTCTACAGGCTTACTTTTACATCTGCTGAGCTTAGTTTACTGTTGGCATTCTCCCAATAAAAGTAGCAACCGTTCATTAGCAAGGCTGGAGAACGGCATAGCTTCACCTGCCTAGCGAGGCTGGTAGAAAATAGCCAGTTGCTAACTTGAAATGACGCATCAGCTTTTGCGCCCTCGGCCCAAATCAAGGAGTCATCATTACACCAAAATGAAAGTGTTTCAAGTGTTAAATCTGCCCCAGGGTGGAAGGTATCTGTTCCTAATTAGACTTATCAGAGCCTTTTGTGTCTTCTTTAAATTACAAACACACTAACTTGTTAGGTGCACCAATGCGGGTTTAGAACCATCTGTCCTGTGCAAATTGCTCGTCTCACAGGTTGATGGTTTGTCATGTGAAACCAACTAATGACTGAATAACAAACGAGCTCGGGACCAAACACAGACTCCCCTGAAGAACGTGAGATGCTTCCCTGCCGATTCCTGAACCCTTGTGTTTGTAACGGAGACAGGGACGAAGATTTTGAGCAAAAGATGGAGAAAGAGACTCGATTCTGTCCAGTTGGAATGGGGGCCTGAACATACTGAGACATTTAGATGTGAGAGGGTTTGTAAGTGTGTGTGAGTGAGAATCTTTAGAAGTCATTTTTGTAACACCCAGGGCTTTGCT